GTGGAGAAATTCCATAAATTTCAATTATTCACCTCAGCACGTAGCTGTCGAGATAGTCAGTGTGCGCCGAGTGCAGTACCTTGCATCTGGCGATGTCCAACATAGCATCAAGTTCAAATCTTGGAATTAGGCGAAGTGAAGCGTCTTTAGTGTTTTTGTTTCCAAACCATAATTCCAGTAATTTCTCGGCTCCTGAATATGATACGTTGGGAGAAAGCAGCAAATCATAATTTCATTTGTATCCCTCTTTGGACGCTTGTAAAAAAAAGTTAGACCAGATATCTACCTTCAAAGAAATACTCCTCGACTGCAACTGGCCCTTCAGGCTTCATAGGGCTGGCGCGAGAATCGACTTGGATAGACATCTGAACATCAAATATTTGCGCATAGACACCAGACACTACTGTATTTTGATTTACCTTTTCTTCTTCACTGGTTTTCCTGGACGCCTTGCGAAAAATGAGTAGATGAGTTGAATCACTCAGTTAGAATAGTAAGTATGTGATAAACGACACTCGGACCCGCTAAGGAGGACGACGGTAAAGAACGAGGATCAGGGTCTCAATATCTGGACCCATACAACCCTGAAATATGTACGTATAACATTTTCTAACACTTTCTTTGCCTATCTAATCATGAAAGTATTACCGCTGGGTAAAAATTTGCAAAAAAAAGGCTAGTTGGAGCGAATCAGTATCAGCTAACCTCTTGAATGCTATCGGAAACGCGTTCTCTGATCGCTATCGACTTGCGGCAGAGAAGGAAACGAGGGATTGTTCCAAAGGTGGGAAAAGAAAGCACAAGGAACAATCGACAGCGCGTCACCTAGTGAGATTTTGACGACTTGGACCTGAAGGGCATTTCATCAGGAATACCATTCCTTCTGATTAGCAAGGAATTTCTCCAGACTATTTACATTGCTCAACCGTTTAATGTCCAAAACAAGAAGCAGAAACGAGAAAACGATGACTCTGATACAAATATACAAATAGATATATATATGTGCGCATTCATCACTTAAAAAATTTCTTTTGTTATCAGATCCGCAAAAAGATACTCAGC